TTATCTGTGGATAGTTTTAAGTCACACTAAGAATAACTGAATACGGGACTTTATAATATGATGGATCTGACCTACGTTGATTAAAGTTTAAACAACTGAAGAGGAAGTTGTTCGTCTAAATAGGTGTCGTACTAAAGGGTGCTGTAATTGGTATATTTTTTTTGGGTTGTGAATTTTTCATTCATATAAAATTGCAAAATTTTTTTAACTCTTCTACTTGGGAACATCTATTACATATTGTAATAACTTAAAAATTGGGAGAGGTGAGTTAACTAAACTTTTTTATTTTCTTATATTATCCTTATCAAACTATTTGGCTTTTCAGATAAGCCTCAGAAGAGCAGACAAATTTATATTTGTTATCTCTGCTAGACCCGTGTAGAAATAAATAATCTCCAACGATATAGGCCATAAAGTCACACGGTCATTAGTTTTTACTATTAGTCCACAATTCATATGGCACCGCTGTGATATCTGTGTATGCCTAAAAACTTCACAAATACCACACTTACGTGTATTTCAGAAACTCTGGTGATTTTATCCTTCTAAATAGTAAAATCAGTAGGATAATAGTTAGTATAATATTTGGAACAATTTCATACTGACTATAGACGGATATTTTGATTCATTGATATAAATTAAATTATTTATTTATTCAAATTTTAAAATATTATAAATTTTTTATATATTGATATATGTTTTGTAATACCATTTTTCGAACGAAGGATATTTCATCCATGATATAGTATAGAGATACTTAACCCAATAGTTTTTTTATTTGATCTTAAATGACTTGACATTTTAGATATTCACCGGAATGTTTTCTGTACTTTTCAGATCACATATTAAAAAATATTTTTGTAAAAAAAAATAAAATTTTGTTCAAATGCATATCAATTTACATTAGACTATACTAACTCAGACCGGTTACGTGGTGGTATAACCATGTCGATATCTAGGTATAGTAGGAAATTACACATGCTAGCAAATAATACTCGTAAGGTAGCACCCCTGTCACCAAACTATTAAAGTTAAAGATTTCCCTATAATTCCCTATAATTTTCGAGAACTTAATCATATCAATATGACAACAAGAAAAACAAATTTGCTGAATATTTTGATAAGGGCAATAGCACAAAATTAGAAACCAATTAAAAACTTTTGTAGATTCCTTAAGCACCTAATGGAGTATGGCAATAATATATATATGAATTCAACGATTCTTACTGCTGAAATGAATAACTCTTTCATAATTTAATCTGTGCTTATTTATGGAATTTTTGAATTACCAATGAATAATTATAAAACTGTAATTATAGGGCAAATTAAAAAATTTATATTATAAATAAATTATTATACATATTATTAGATAATAATATAAAAAAATTTTTTTATTAATGATGTAAAAAAAAGAAATTAAATATTTTTTAATTAGAAAAAAGAATATCTATACAAGCACACATATTTAGCGAAAACTTTACTTATTCCATATATCTTTATTTCATACCATATAGTCAGATATATTATTATACACATGATCATTTAAACGATTACAAAATCCAATTTATTTGATATTTTAAAATACTCTATTGGCATACATATCTCGTGTATATTTATTTAATATATGTATTAGGAAATAACAAACAAAAATTTTGGATAAAATGTGTATTTGAACAATTTTTACAGCAACACAAATATTTAATCAAATGTGCAAATATTGTTGTTGAGTAACTGCAGCAGTAAACATGTCATATCAAAATAAATATGACAAAGTTATTTATCTGAAAAAAATATTTTAAACTGTATCTGAATAATACCATAAATCATAAAATAGATACACAAAGCAAAAATTATAATTATTTATTGTATTAAAATTATGCAATGAAGAATTAAATAAAGATTAATGGCACCGAGCGAAGATATTTAAGATTTCTATCAATCTTTACAATTTACTTTCTGTTTCTGTTTAAATAAAATAGATTTTTATCTGGTGGCCAGAGAAATATCAATATTTCCACTTTCATTTCCGGCTCGAGATAAGCGTCAATGGCATTTATTGGTGCCGGACGAGTCAAATGTCAGTAGAAATTTCTCACCCTAAGTGCATAATTGGATTAGAGCTGGCATGCCTGCAGTTCACGCAGTACGTGCATCCCATGCCGTGCCACAATAGTGCGCGCACTCAAGGGGTCTATATGCATACGCCTGTCTCCATTGATATCGAATTAAACCAATCATTAACTAAATGACAGTAAATTGCCTTATCGCCTTGTCTCGACTCGGTTTGGAAATGTAAATAAAACATATTTAATGTTCACACTAAGTGGATTGCATAGCGTATATGATGTGGTGGAATTGGGGTGGAAATTGACTCATGCAAAAGTTCTAGAACTTTAGTGTGCTCGTATGTTTTGACCATTTTATAAAATTTTAATTCAACATTTTAGGTGTACTTTGTGGTGGTGTTCTTGCATGCATACGTTTTCGTACTATTGCAGTTCAAGGTAATTGAACTCTACTTGC